GATATTTGATTAGCATTAATGGCCTTATATTCCGTTAGACAACGATAATGTTAGAGTATAGAAGAAAGTAGAGGTATACGGAGCCATTAGTATCATGTATGTATGTTTGATACTTAAAATTCACACTCCATGAGTTTTGTGATATTGGTACGAAATCTTTGTATTTTACGAAAAACTCCACTTTTTTCAACTTTGTAATGAACCGTAAGAAACTGCCTACTTTGATAAATTTTCTTCTTAAGGAACAAAACACAAACAGGCGAACCAATATGGAATAAGAGAAAATAAAATATCTTGATAAAGTGATCATTCGAACTTTAAGTAGAATATGCAGCGGATAAAAATGCGGTTGCAAATAAGTACATCATAATTCATTTTTATAAAACAATCTAAAAACATTTAAAACAGAACCATATCAAATCAAACATCGCATGTAGCTACACCTAGCTCAGAATCACCTTGACCAAAGTATAAAAACCATTTGCCATGAAATTGAACAATTCCTTCAGTAAAAACAACTTGATCAACTTGACCCTCTACTTCGTTATCTGAGTCAGGAATCAAGAACGGTTTGTCCAATCTTGCCAATGGTCCAGATAAGTCATCATAATCGACCAACATCTGGGATATAGAATAAGTACCCTTGGGGTACTCTCCACTACCTTTAGTAGCTGAATTGTAGAACAACACATAATGATTCTTAGTAGAATGTTCATATTGTAACTTTATGGGTGCTGCACCCGGCTCAATCAACTTATCCTGCCAATTGAAAACCCCTTTGGCAAAAATGTTTTTTTCATAGGTATTGGAGGTGAGTTTCCAACTTATCAAATCCGTTGATTCTGCTAGGTGGAAGGCCGAATCCCCCCAAATCATATAATATTTGCCATCATTATGTTTTTCTACAAATATAGCTCCTGACTTCAGCCATCCCGTTCGAATCGTTTCCTTATTATCTGACGAGATGGCAATATCATGCCAATCTGAATCTGGATTAATAATTGGTGGGTACTTAGTCCAGTCAAATAAATTCTCCGAAGTAGCAATACACAACCTAGCTTTCTTCGTATCGTATGCAGTGTACGTCATAATAAACAATTTAGAGACAGGATCTCTAACAATTCTAGGATCTTCGCACCCACCCTTCTCATAAGATTCAGTAGGCTTGAGGATAGGTTTGTTGTACCTCAAAAACTTATATCCGTCATTCGACCATGCAAGCCCGACAGAAGAAACCTTATCTTGATTTTGTGCTCTATAAAGTAAAAATACTCTATCATCAATTACTATGGCGGTTGCGTTATACAAATACGAGTTCTCAAATTCGTTATCAGGATTAGGAGTTAAGATAGGGTTATGCTCATATTTCACAAAATTTGGTCCAATTGGAAAAGAATTGGGTGGCTTATAATTGATATCGCCATCTTTTGAGTCTCTGTCTATAACTGGGATCTTCATTATTATTGTATCTTACTCTTGAATCTTGTTTTCTTCCTAATGTTTCATATTTTCTGGGGCCTTAAATAGTTGCGTGCGACATTTTTGTGCCAGGCTATGTCGCAATGTCGTACTCCTTTTTCGTGTTGATAAGCATCATATATTGGGACTCTACTATGAGATTCACAATAGGATGACTAAATAGTAAATTGATCGGTTTATACAGACATTGGCTAATACGGAATTGAACTATCGTTTACAATACAAATATAGAATATAGAACCAAGGTATATTATTGGATTTTGCATATTTGTAACACGTCTTAAAACTGAACGTAACCAAAAAATATTATGGGCCAATTATTATCACATCCAATTGAGGATAAAACCATGGAACATAAGTCATATGATACAATTACATATTGTATAGGACTGATGCAAGGGTATCGGATGAGTATGGAAGATGCTCATAATGTCAAAGTGAATGAGGATGAATCACTCGCCGTATTTGGTGTTTTTGATGGCCATGGTGGGAAGGCATGCGCCGAAGTCGTAAGTGACAAGCTACCGACAATGGTCTTTAGAGAGTTGAGCAGTTTGTTAAGGAACGGGAACGGAGATCTCACGTCATATATGAAAGTACTAAAAGACTCATTTTTTAAAATCGATCGAGATTTGACGAATGAAGACTCTTCTAATTGTGGGACCACTGCAATTATTGCATCAATTATAGCCAACGAGTACATCATTGTGTCTAATGCCGGAGATTCAAGATGTATAATGTCTTTGGAAGGTGGTGCAGCAAAGACTTTATCATTTGACCATAAACCGTCTACGATGGGAGAAAGAGTGAGAATTGAAAACAGTGGGGGATATGTCGTGAACGGGAGAGTAAACGAGATTTTAGCATTATCTAGAGCATTTGGTGACTTCAAGTTCAAATTGCCCTATATGGAATTGCTGAATAACCAAAACAAGTATATTGCTGCTAACAAGAGGTATTTCAAGCATGAGTTGATTCATTTACCGCCTGAATTGTTTCTGGTCAGCGTAGAGCCAGATGTGGTAGTCTACGACTTGAAGAGCTTAAAACAGCCAGAGTTTGTTGTTTTAGCATGCGATGGAATTTGGGATTGTTATACTAATACTAAGTTAATAAAAATTATAAGGGACAAGCTAAGTATGGACTGGAAAATACATCATATAACAGAATTTATTTTGAACGATTGTGTTGGAATGGCTAATAATGTAACAGGGATAGGTTTTGACAATATGACCATTATAATTGTTGCGGTACATAATAATAATAATATTGATGAATGGTATACTATGATGAAAGATCGAGTTTTAAAAGAGAAGGGACTTCTCTAAATATTCTGTGGTTGGCAATTTAGCCTTATTTTCTCAATAAACACTTATGATTCATCATGATCAAATGCAAAGTTTACATTTTTCTTACAATCATTCATAATGGGCTTAAATCGAGAATTATTGATCCATTACATGCATCGTTTAAATATTATAGCTTAAAGCTCCATTTTAATCTATCATTAATAATTATTATATATTAATACATAAGTTTACGTTCTCTTGTACCTATTATTGTAGGATTCAAATCCTGCATACAGAAATGGCAAGCAAAAACATTCGATAGGTTGATGTTAGATTTAGATACTGCTAACACCTGAAGACATAATAATAGACTCACATTATTGTTTACATTTATAAGTTTGACGACTTAGCATCATAGCATTATTTTAGAACATATTCATATATTTTTATTTTGGGTCAAGAGAGGCTAATCTCAGGAGGATTCATTATTTGCATTTAGACTTGGTAAATTTCAATGTCATTAACCGATATAGATGTTTACGAAGATCCCATATTAAAATTGGCACAGGATCCAGGTTTAAATAAAGAAAAAGAGAAAACAAAAGAATTAATAAATATAATACATAGTTTTTCATTAACGGAACGGAAAGTATCCAAGCTATGTCAATTATCATTAACGATCCTACAAAGTTTAGAAAAGATAGAATTAAATTTAAAGAATTGGGCATTTCTTTCGTTAGATATTAACTCGGAAAACCATTTTAATAAAGATAGTGATGATGAAATCAAGAATTTCAATAATAATATATCGTTGAAAGTGTTAAATAATTGCAATGAATTTAACAGAAAATTAAATAATATATCCGTCGATCTCGACTATATCACCAAATCGCTGAGGACATTAACTCCGCTAGAGTACATTCTGGATAGTGGAACACTATTGACGTCCTTAACATTAAGAAGTATCCGACTTAAGGATGAAATATCAGACAAGATAACAATTGCATACCTGAAAGCCAAACTAATAACAATGGGAACTGACTTAGAAACAATGTTGGAAGACGATGAAGATAATTCAACCCCAGTGACATATAAGAACTTTGTTGTTAGTCTATTAAAACAATTGAACAATTCGATAGAAATGGAAGATGTTTCTGCTAAATATGAATGCTTAGCAGTTATCAATGATATGGAACAAATGTTCAATATTTATAAATTAGACAGAATACAACAAATGACTCTATTTGAGAAATCTAAACAAAAAGATGAGGAATTCCTTCCAATAGATAAGGAATTAGTCAGTACCGGGTTAAATAAATCGGGTCACACGGAAAATGACATTTCAGATTATGACGATGACGATTATGATTATGATTATGATTCTGATTTTGTTTCCTCATCAATGTATTCATCATCAGCACCCTTGCATAATCCTCCACTTATTCGCTCAATTACTAAGTCTCAACAAATGAAACCTCCACAATCACCTACTAAGCAATCGTCGAATTTCGGAAGAAGGGACTCTGTATCATCGTTATCAACGTCCGCTTTTCTTCAAAAAACTTCATTATCAGATGAGTTACCATATTTAATGTCTGCATTTGATCTGGCAAAGAATTTTGAAGAGGACGTTAGTCATTTCAAAGAAAGAGACGGAAAGGACATACCAATAAAGAAATTAAAAAAAGAACATAATATGAAAAATTCCCAAGCTATAGAGATCAATGGAGAACCTTCTCGTGAAAAACAATTTCCTAGTCGTAAATCGAAATTGCCAGACGGTTCCTTGTATGCTGAAAGTACACTATTATCTAAACCTCCTTTATCAGATGCAAGCTCATATCTTTATGCCAACAATTCGTTGCTATCTAAATTAGGCATAAGACCTCAAGTTATAACTACTGAAATGCCATCTAAGGAATTATCTAACAATACATCCATAAACATAAAGCATAAAATAGATAAAGTACCACAATTATATGTTGAAGATACAGAAAATAATGGCAAGGATAAAGAAAATAGAAAGGTAATTAATCCTTTAACTATAGCAAACTTAGAAAGCCACAGTTTTTCAGACCTTCTTGGAGGCAATGATCATGATTCTGTTGAATAGTAGTTTCAGAGACATCAAATACGACATTTACAGCTCATATAGTAAAGTGAACTTGAGAAGTAATATATAAAGACTATATAAACGTTTATCATTCGGCATTTTAATGATGTTTATTGTAACTATCTAATTTCGGTAATCTTGTCTTGACTTGAGCATTTACGTAATTCCTTAACAAAACTTTCTCCCCAAAATCCAGACGTATACTTCGATATATAATCAAATAACTTTTTGAAATTAAATTCCTTTTTCTCTTCTGGTAATGTCAAGCTCTCTTTTATAGCATAGCTTAATTCTTCTGTATTCCACGGGTTAACAACGATTGCTCCATTCAATGATTGAGCAGCACCTGCAAACTCTGACAAGATAAGAACACCTTTATTTTCTTGCTGACATGCAATATATTCATAACAAACAAGGTTCATACCATCTCTTGTAGAACTAACTAAGCAAACATCAGAGATATGGTATAAACTGATTAATTCATCAAATGGGATGGATTTGTGCATGAAATGAATCGGTACAAACTCAACAGTACCGAATCTTCCATTAATTCTACCCACTAATTCATTGACTGTTGCTCTCAAACTTTGATACTCTTCAACGTCTCCACGGGAAGGAACGGCAACTTGAACTAATACAACTTTACCAATCCATTCAGGATTTTCAGTAAGGAAAATTTCAAATGCATGTAGCTTTTGGGGAACACCTTTGATGTAATCTAATCTATCTACTCCAACTATAATCTTGGTATCGGTAAACTTTTGTTTTAATTGCTTAATACGGTCCACCACTTTTGGCTTAGTTACCCCCTCGGTAAACTTATCAACATCTATACCAATTGGGAAAGCACCTATACCAATTGATCTGCCTTGATACTCAATTCCATTTGGTAAAATGTTAACATTTGAAACAATTCTCGATACTGAAGATAAGAAATGTCTTGCGTAGTCGTACGTATGGAATCCAATCAAATCACAACTTAATACACCAACCAAGATCTCTTCTCTAACGGGTAAAATTCTATAAATCTCCGAGGATGGGAATGGTGTGTGAAGAAAGAATCCTATTCTTATATTTTTTTTCTTATTTTCTATTTCTTCTCGTAACATCTGAGGCAATAACATTAAATGGTAATCATGCACCCAAATCATATCGTTATCATCAACTTGTTGTGCAATTGTGATAGCAAACTTCCTATTCGCTTCGATATATGCGGCCCATGCATTTTCATCAAAATTCATTTCACCAGGATGGTAATGGAACAACGGCCATAATATACTGTTAGAAAAACCATTATAGTGTAAATCAGCAATTGAATCACTTAAAAATATGGCAGTACAGTTGAATTTATCCTTTAAATCCTTATTAACCTTACTTTGTTCATCATCCGGAATTTCTAGTCCTGGCCACCCTAACCATTGAAATTCCGTTGATTTCTTTAACCCTTGCAATGCCGTAACTAATCCCCCAGAAGACATTGAATAATCATATGTCCCCTTAGGCGATCGCTTGATCGTAACTGGTAACCTGTTTGAAACTACTAACACTTTCCCTTTTATCATTTTATGTTTTCTATATAGACACTGGTATAATTATTGAATAATTTGATTCAGTTATCTTTTAAAGGCTTATAAAATCGCAACTCTATATCATTGCTATTAATGGGCACCGGAAATCCATTTATTACTACATTGGGAAATCGACGAATAATTCATTTTTCAACTTATTTACAAAGTTGACAGCTTTTAACAACTCTTAAACATTACATATACAATCAAGCTTTATATTATGTATACTCCATATGGAAATGCTGCTAACATGCAGCAGCAACAGCAGCAGCAGCAATTTCAGCAACAAAACTTACAGCATCCTCAACCTCAGCATCCATCATTTCAACAACCACAACAACATGCGCAGTATGGTAATATGGGCCAACAACCCCAAGCACAACAATCGGGACCATATGCTAACTTCTTTCAAGATCCAGCCACTTCAATGGCAGCCCAGTTAGCGAAAAATAGTATTGGATCGTCAAATCAATATTTACAACAAAATTTTGGATCAATTATATCTGGAACTGGTGATCTCAACTACTATTTTAAGGTCAGTAATTCGTATGTTTTTAGGAAGATTTTGTTAATATTGTTTCCGTACAGAAATAAGAACTGGACCAGGTTCACTGCCGAAAATCCTGGGACTTCAGGGAACGCTGCAAGTGTTGCGTTTGCCCCGCCAAGTCAAGACATAAATGCACCCGATTTATATATCCCACTAATGTCCTTCATAACATATATTTTGTTGTGGGCCGTGTTTCAAGGATTGAAGGGTGACTTTCATCCTCAATTGTTTGGGTATTTGGCATCACAAACGTTAGCCTGTTCCTTCTTGGACATCTTGATATTCAAAATCGGACTCTACTTATTGAATTGCTCTACTCAAAGCTCATTATGGGATTTAATCAGTTTCAGTGGCTACAAGTATGTGACAATTATTACTTTGCTTTGTTGGAAACACTTAATCGGCGGTGGCTGGATGGTGTACTACGGAGTGGTTGTAGTCTTCACTACAAGCTTAGCATTGTTCTTGATGAGATCGTTGAAATTTTTGGTCTTGCCTTCGGCAAACACTGCTGCCGGAAGTTCTGCAAGTAACAGTATATCGAGTAAGCAGAGGAAGATTAGAATTCAATTCTTATTTGTTTATGCTGTTGTATTCCAATTTCTCATAGTTCTTTTTATGAGTAGATAGTTTGAGTAGAGATTTCATTAATTACAGTATAGCAATATTCTACATCCAATTATTGGTGAATATTTATAATCACCAACGTATATAGCTGATTATATTTATTTAAGTCAATCCTGAGATTAGTGTAACTTTTACGCGTACAGCATCTAAAAAAATCTCTGACGCGTAGATGGCTTTATGATTCCTGCAAAAATTAGTATAGAGAAATCAAATATATTTGAAAACAACCTAATACCTACTCTTTGATTGCCGAATATTCTGATCATTTGTTCCAAACTATTTGAACTTTAATTGCATTTATCTAATATAAAACAAATATAAAAGGTGCTTATCAAATGCCTTCAAAATATGGTAACGGGCCTGGAACAGGACGGTTTGTGAAGAACTCAACAATAAAGTCAGAGTTTAAGAATAATGGATATAATAGAGCAGAGGTAATTGATCCTCTGATTGCAAACAATCCCATGTTAAATGATTCCATACAAAAGCGGGAATTGGTTAACAGAATAGATCAGTTGGATTCTATTATGGGGTTTGACAGAATAGAACACGGTGAAATGGACGGTGCTAAACCTCGTAGAGGATGGTTAATAAATATGCATGCTACAACAGTACCTACTGATGAATATTTGACGGGATATTCTGGAGTAGATTATTACTTTTTAGATGAAGAAGGAGGATCATTCAAAGCAACAATACGATATGACCCATATTTTTACTTAGTAGTTATACCAGGACATGAGTCAGAGGTAGAAGAAATGCTTAGAAAGATTTTGGAGCCTTGCAGTTTGAAAGGATTATTAAGAGTTGCGAAGGAAGATTTATCATTACCAAACCATTTAGTGGGTTTAAAGAAAACATTAGTTAAATTGAGCTTCCACAATGTTGTGGACCTTTTGAGCGCCAGAAGATTACTTAACCCCATCATTAAAGATAATAAGATGAAAAGAGATACCAGAGATATATACCAAGTGATGAATTTTAACAATGTAAATAATGCTAACGGCACGGAGATTCAAACTAATTTCAATGATAAAAATACTGAACAAATTGCAGATCCTGCTACATTAATAGACGACATTAGAGAGTATGATGTACCGTATCATGTTAGAGTGTCAATTGATGAAAAAATTAGAGTCGGAAAGTGGTATAATGTTTTTGTTAAGCATTTAGAAGTTAGATTAGAAGAAGATAAGGAAAAGATAGCTTTCGCCGATCCAGTAATTTTAGCATTCGATATAGAAACAACGAAAGCTCCTCTTAAATTTCCGGATGCCAAAACAGATCAAATCATGATGATATCTTACATGATTGATGGTGAAGGTTTTCTTATAACTAACAGAGAAATTATTTCTGAGGATATTGAAGATTTCGAATACACACCAAAACCAGAATACCCTGGCTTGTTTACTATTTTCAATGAGCCAGATGAGAAGATGGTTTTAGTAAGGTTTTTTGAGCATATTAGGGATTCGAGACCTACTGTTATTGCTACTTTCAATGGTGATTTTTTTGACTGGCCGTTTGTGGAAAAAAGAACAACTTTTCATGACATGGATATGTTTGAAGAAATTGGATTTGCAAAAGATAATGATGGTGAGTATAAATCGAAATACTGTGTACATATGGATTGTTATAGATGGGTTAAAAGAGATTCTTATTTACCTCAAGGTTCACAAGGTTTAAAGGCTGTTACTACTGCAAAATTAGGTTACAACCCAACTGAATTAGACCCTGAACTCATGACTCCTTACGCATACGAAAAACCACAATTATTATCTGAATATTCCGTTTCTGATGCAGTTGCAACATATTACTTATATTATAAGTACGTCCATCCTTTTATTTTCTCGTTATGTACTATCATTCCATTAAATCCCGATGAAGTTTTAAGAAAAGGTACAGGTACCTTATGTGAAATGTTATTAATGGTTCAAGCATATGAGAATGGAATCGTTTTACCTAACAAACATACTGAACCAATTGAAAGATTCTATGATGGTCATTTGTTAGAATCGGAGACTTACGTCGGTGGTCACGTAGAATCGTTAGAGGCTGGTGTTTTCCGTAGTGATTTACCTAATGATTTCAAAATTGATCCAACAGCAGTCGATGAAATATTAGGTGATTTACATAATGCCTTGAAGTTTTGTATTGAGGTGGAAAATAATAAAAAAGTTGAAGACGTTGAAAACTACGAGGAAGTTTATAATCAAATTAAGGATAGCTTGGTTAATTTAAGAGAGAACCCTATTAGGCATGAGAACCCTTTAATTTTTCATGTTGATGTTGCTTCAATGTATCCTAACATTATGACTTCAAATAGATTACAACCAGATTCGATGAAATCAGAAGAAGATTGTGCAGCCTGTGATTTCAATAGACCTGGTAAGAGCTGTGATCGTAGATTGCCTTGGTCATGGAGAGGTGAATACTACCCTGCGGAAATGAATGAATATGGCATGATAAAGAGAACTTTACAAAATGAAACATTCCCTCCAGCAAAACCATGGCTACCTGCTAAAACATTTGATGAATTATCGTACTCAGAGCAAGCTCTGTTAATTAAGAAGAGATTGAGTGATTATTCGAGAAAAGTCTATCATAGAATAAAGCAGTCTAAAACTGTTTCGAGAGAAGCGATAGTCTGTCAGCGTGAAAATCCGTTTTATGTTGATACAGTTAGATCTTTCCGGGATCGTCGTTATGAATTTAAAACATTAGTTAAAGTTTGGAAGGGTAAAACTGCAAAAATAGATAAACATGATACAATTGGAAAGGATGAAGCTAAGAAGATGGTAGTTTTATACGATTCTTTACAATTAGCACATAAAGTCATTTTAAACTCCTTTTATGGTTATGTTATGAGAAAAGGTTCTCGTTGGTACTCGATGGAAATGGCAGGTATTACTTGTCTTACTGGTGCAACTATTATTCAAATGGCTAGGTCTTTAGTTGAAAGGTTAGGAAGACCCCTAGAATTAGACACTGATGGTATTTGGTGTATTTTACCCAAATCATTTCCAGAAAACTATTATTTTAAATGTAAGGATGGTAAAAACATCTTTCTTGAATATCCCTGCTCAATGTTGAATTATTTAGTTCATGATAAATTTACTAATCATCAATACCAAGACTTGGTTGATCCTAACACTTTTAAATACAAGACTAGATCGGAAAATTCAATTTTCTTTGAAGTCGATGGTCCATATAAAGCAATGGTCTTACCAACTTCGAAAGAAGAAGGAAAGGGATTAAAGAAAAGATATGCGGTATTTAATGATGATGGATCATTAGCTGAATTAAAAGGTTTCGAATTGAAAAGAAGAGGTGAATTACAATTGATTAAGAACTTCCAATCTGATATCTTCAAATTATTTTTGGAAGGCGATAGTTTAGAAAATTGTTATAAGTCTGTGGCTACGGTAGCAAACAATTGGTTAGATGTCTTGGATACTAAAGGAGGCATGTTAGAAGATGAAGACTTGATTGAACTTATTTGTGAAAATAGAAGTATGTCTAAAAGTTTAGCAGAATATGGTAATCAAAAATCTACTTCAATCACAACAGCGAAAAGATTAGGTGAATTTTTAGGCGAGGAAATGATTAAAGATGCTGGTTTAGCATGTAAATATATTATCAGTTCCAAACCAATCGGAAGCCCTGTCACAGAAAGAGCAGTTCCAGTTTCTATATTTTCCTCCGAAAAGAAAGAGTTTTATTTGAAGAAATGGTTGAAAGATCCATCTTTAGAGAATTTTGACCCAAGAAGCGTTATTGATTGGAATTATTATTATGAACGTTTAGCATCTGTTGT